GGAAGCTCACACCCTGCCATGAGGGAGGATTGGCCCATTTGGAGCTTAGGATAAACACTTGGCAGGAAAGCAAGCTCCATCAAGGATCTGTATCAGGACTGGGCATGTCAGTCCTGCAAAGATTAACACATATGCTAAGCTTTCTGCACATGAATGTTCCCACTCTAATTCATGGGTGTAAACATATGCGTGTGCCTAGAATCAGGACCTCAGTGCCTTTCTTCTCTAGATCACATGGAAGTTTTTCTGACTGTAGACGTGCAGGAAGGGTTTTGAGAAGAACTAAACAGCTTCTTCTACAGGCTAGAGTGTTTTGAGACCAGCACATAGTCAGAAATATGATTGGTCCATACGGCTTATTGTCACAGGATTCCCTCAACAAAAGTGCTCCTGATAACTAGGAATTATTTCATTTTTTAAATTTAATTTTTTGATTGCTACTAAACTTATTTCTCATCTGCTTAAATGTACCTTTATATAATGGAGAATTTCCTTCATCTGAATTCAACTACACATTAGCTTGTGGCATATGGGAACCATGTAAAACTAATCTGAATAATTATTTCCTACAGTTTTTGCCAAATTACTTAAGATTGTTCACACTTTCAAGGAAATTTTTGCTTACATATTCCTTACTCAGCCCAGTTCACTAAAGATTTGATCAACTTATATCATCAGTGTTCGCATCAAGGGAATTCAGAATATTTTTATCAGTGGATCATTACATGTGTTATGGGCTTTTTATTAGTATTCTTCAAATTGTGACAATAACTTGCCTAATCACATTTTGTTATAGCCTATTTGATCTGCTGATGAGCTGATGTAATTAGAATTTTGAAGCAAAATTATCAGCTCAGATGTGGTCAGAGCAGTCAGTTCTTCAAGTACTGACAGTCTTGATATTCAGACCAAATATTTTTGTAGTTCATCAAAAACTTTCCTTTATAGAAGGATAATTTGTGTGCTATCTGACCAATGTGTTGTTTGCAATCACGAGCAGGAAAGCTGCTTGATATACAGCAGGAATTAGTCTTTCTGGGTCTTAGCTGACAGCCTTAACCAAGACCATTTCTCCTGCACTGGGAAACTGAGTTTTCTACACCAATTACTGCTGTCTTTTTACAGGCAAGGATTAGGGGGGAGGAACAACTCTGAGGATTGGATTCTACAGACGATTTGGTTGAATCATGAGTAAATCAAAAGGGAAGATGAAAAGAATTCCTGGGAAAGTATTTATAAACCCATGGGACTGAATGACAAGCATCAGAGATTGCTAACAGAGCTAGCAGAGGGAAGTGAGATACCTTGAGCAGTGATTTTTAAAAGTTCATGGAGAACAGATGAGGTGCCAGAGGATTTTAGAGCCACAAAATACAGCACTCAATTGAGTTATAAAAAGGGGCATCCAGGAATTTACTAAGCAATTCATTTAACTTCAATAGCAAGTAAACTATGTAAGAAGTCATAAAGGAGCCATTATGAAATCTTAGAGCAACCCAGAATAATAAATAATTGGTTGGGAAAGGGCTTTAAGAGGTCATCTAGTAATCTCATCAAAAATCTTGTAAGAGTCAACATTCAGAAAAATACGGTACTTAGATATGCACACTTCAGCTGGCCCTTTCTACACACCCGAGGAGAGAATTCAGCCTTTGCCTGGGGAGGGGGAGCATTCCTTGAGCAGAGTGCATTTTAAATGGAGGACTTCCTTGCCTTTTCTGCACAGCTTGGGCTCACTATTGAGTGAAAATCCTCAGAGGTGACAGGAGAAATTACAGCAGCTGGCACAGAAAAGGAAAGCTGTTAAAGTTGATGATCCTCTTTTTCAAATTAATATTCCCTGGACAGAGACCCAAGTAACAGATTAACTGGGGGCGAACTGTGATAACACAAGCAGCTAATGCCACAATGGAGGGCTGTGGGGGAAGAGTGTTCTGGGGAAGGGAGGCTGTAAAAGAAACCCTCTCTTGCCCAAACCCATAGAGCAACAGAGAGCTCAGCCTGCCTTTGGAGAAGCAAAAGAGGCTGCAGCCAGCACCAGGGGAAAGAAGAACCGTGGTACCTCCAAAATTCCCACTTGAGCTGAGGAAGGTGAGAGGACCTCACATCCATGCCCATCCAAGGTTGTTACTCCCTTACGTTCCCTGTTCATCTAACACTCCTGAGTGGCCAAGCAAGGGGAGCTCTGCCATGGCTGGGGACAAGGAAAAAAGTTACTTTTTTACAGCTTGAAAGGCTCTTTAACCTTTAACTGTAAGGGTTTAAAACTTTCAACCCATACTTCTGTGAGCTTTTATATAGTCCTGCAACGTTATATGGTAATATTTGGGTCTCACGTATTGCACTGGGTTTCAAGTATTATACTGAGTTTTGCAGAATAGTTCAGGAGATCCAGGGAAATACTGGGTGGCACATTAGATTAGAATAGGATGGGGACTCTGGTGCTCAACCTAAAATGCTGAATTGCAGCCTGCCCTTGACAGAAAACCACTAACCCTGAAACACCAAAGTGTCAGTGTGGTACAAAAGATTTACCTCTGAGGTGAAATTCTGTCTTTCCTTGTGCTCACAAACAGCTGCTCACCAAAGCTAACCAGCCAAACGGCATGAATACTGACTGAAGTAGCAATCTGTAACTGCAAAATTTGTCTATGATGTTGCTCAGCCAGGTATATGTATATTTTTCCCCTTAAATGCAGAATGGCACAAGGTCATTTTGAAAGGATTGAGGTAAAAACCCAGAAGTTTACTTGTCATTAGATGTAGATAGTAATAATCAAAAGCAATAATCACACCATGTGAGGAAATTGAACACAGACAAACAGCAATGCTAAATGAGAGAGGAGCACCAATTATGTGCAACAGAGTTCTTATTATATGGCATTCTGATTACCTTAAATTATATTTTTAAAGATATCCATTTTTATTTTTACTTCTAAAACAGGAAGTTCTTGTCAAGTATTGACGTCAGCTAGCCTCATCAATTGTTCCTGTAATAGCTCAACTACCACTACAGCCACAAATGCTATGAAAGAGCTAAGTACTCCCTGCACAAAGGGGATTCGGTTTGGGCATTGCCACAGCGAGTATGCATGCCTAGTCTTTTACAGAGTAGTAATTGATATTGATTTTTTGTGGCAGAGGTTCCCTCCTGCTATGCACTGGTCTTTATTTAAAAATAAAAAAAAAAGTTTAAGACATGATGATCCATCTTGAAAATAAATCTAATTTTTTTTCTTTTTTAGAAAATGCAGTGAATTCAGCATTCATTAGATGTGCTGGACTGACTCCATGGCAGACCTCCAGCAGTCTGCAGGAGAACAAGGCTCCATGTAGAACAGCCTGCACCTCTTGACTGCGCTTTTGGGGCGATCCTTTGGGGCAGCACAGCAGCACCACACCATCTTTGGCACAAGGGCCCCCACCACTAGAGGCCATGCAACAAGAGTAGCATGACCTGCTGCAACCTGGATCAGAGGCTACCAGCTCTGACAGCCATCAGCTGGCAGTGTAGCTGCCAGTTCCATGTCCCAGCCACATCCAACCCCTGCTGTGTCCTGACCTGTACCCCTCCATTATTTCCTGTTTGTCTTTCCTTTATATTTATGACCCTTATTATTACTGAGTCTGTTTCCTTCTCTCTCACAGGAATCCTGGATTGCATTATTTATTTATCATTGCTCTTATTTTGGCTTTAAAAGATATCCACAACTTGGGGATGGGAGGGAAATGGAGTAGGGGGAGGAGTGGATGCTACCATGAGTGCCTGGTAATGGTTCAGTGGAAATCTTCAATTCAAGCTGCGCCATGCTAAACAAGAAAAGCCAGGAGAGCTTCAGAGGCCAACCAAGTCCAAGGAAGCACTTAAACTCCCTAGGGAAGACAAGGGAAATCTACTGAAAACACTGAAATGACACTTTTGCTTCCTTCCTGTTTATCACATGAACCCATCTGGGGTTTTACTTCCAAGTGTGAAGAAGGTTTTACCAACAGGAGGTTTTACTTGGTACCACAGAAGGGCTGGAGGACATTGGCAAGCTGGCCATGCTCAGAGTCCATCATGGCATCAGCGTGCCAAGGCCTTGCAGCATTGTGCAGCCCAGCAGCTTCTCAAAGCCACTTCTGACTGTGCACCTGAATCCTTGGGTTCATTTACTCCTCCTCTGCACCTCAAGAAGGGCTGCACATTCACCAGAACATCTTCACTGGCCACAGATTTCAAGTGCCCTTGGATGCAGTTTTCGTTTAGGTACCAGGTTTGTTTATGACAAGTACCTTTCATGAACATAAACATACCTACTTCAGCTATCTGCTGCACCTACACAGAGGTGTTAAATGGCAGCTGGCATGTACCTAAGCCTTACAGATAAAAACAAATGTTTTTCAGGAACCATGGAAATGTGGTCTCCCATAAAATGTCCAGCACCTCTTGCTGCAGCCTGAACTAAAAATACTACAAGTAAAGTTCAGGGTTTTGTCATTCCCACTGCCCACGGGAGCAGGATGTGCAGAGGCAGAGGATCAGAGGATATAAAAAGTTCATTCAGGAGTCTGTCTTCTCTACATTCTTAAAGTGACCTTAAACACTGTAAGCTTCCCTCTCAGTTTTGACTGGGAAGTTTGGCTTTCTCCTGACCCTCTACTAGCTGGTGGGAAGCAGCAGACAGAGCCCAGGCCATCACTTTGATGCTGCTTTCCTGTGACACTGACAGCTCCCCCAGTTCCCATGGCCACAAATTGGCCATGCCTCCCCATTCCTGCTCAGCACAGCTAAGCATCCTTACAGCATCCATGTCCCAAACTCATCAGCAGGACTGCTGCCAGCTGAGACAAATGCAGCCCTTGCCCACCTTTGCCTGAGCAAGGCTAGCACAAAATGGGCTCCCAGCTGCACCTAATATTGGTGGCACCAATATTAGTTTTGTCCCACAACAAAGAGCAGAGTTACTGCTTAACTAAGCAAAGCTCTTCTTAAAAGTCTATAAAGTAAGATTAAGCATTTCTTCTTTCTAACTTTTTCTTAATCTAAGATTAAAAGCATTTAATTATGAAACCTGAAATCTTCCTGATAACCCTAAAGTTTTAACCCAAGTGGTGGTGTGATTTGGAATGAGATGGTGACTATGTATATAAGATGAAGAAGATACAGAGGTTTCATTTCCTACAAATTAATTCTCTACAAGCTGTGTAAACTTTCCTTCATATAAACAAAGTCTTTACAGACAAAGATGTCAGGGTTTTCCCCCTTTCAATTATTTAGAGAAAAAACAGAAATGCAATTTTACTGTCTAGGCACTTCAACCCATACCAGCAAATCGAGAGCTGCTCTGGGTTGCCTTGCACAGTGCACTTCCTCATGCTTCTATAAAACAAATGTAAATAAACTTGCAAAGAAACAATCTTGTGCAGCCGGATATTACTAAGTAGTTTCAAGCTTCTACAGTAGATTGACAACTATTTGTATTTACACACTCCCCCCCAAATACAAATGTTGTGATCTCTCACTACAGAGGGGCAACATATGAGAGACAACACAACTGCCACGCCAATACCATGCTGTCATCTTCATTCCTATCACTTTTCCATGCCCTAACTTCAGGGAGGCTCCAAAATTCAGCTTTATAAATGCATTAAACAGTCTTTCTGCAAAAGAGGGAGTAATCCACATTACCAATTTTAGTGGCCCAACCCAGTGGCCCAGCTGGACATAGAGGTAATGGAGAGGGAGCTGCCAATTTGCTTTGCCCTAACTCTTAAACTTCAGATCCTCTGTGAGGAGAGAGGAGTTGTCCCTCTTGAGAGAGCTCAGGGCCCCCACAGTTTGGAGAAGGAGCATGACAGAGAACAGATTCAATACCCTGAGGGCTTGGCATACCATTCCTTGAAGGAACAGGGAGCACCCTGAAGTCTCAGTGGTGATGGCGAGATGGTGGCTTGCTGCCTGGGGACACAGAGAAGTGGGCTAGAGACTGTAATACAGGAGGCACCAGACTCAAAAACAAGACAGGGCAAGGACCTTCCCTCCAAGGAGACAAAAAGAGCCTTCTTTTAACCTGAGAATTTTTCGTCTTCAAAAAGTCACACTGGTCAAGCTTGTTTTCTGAGAAAACATGGAGCATGGAGTCCCTGGGGGACTCCTCATGTGTGCACTTTCAGGAAATATTGCAGGTCTATCAGAGGGCTTGACTCACAGGCCATTAGATGCAGTTTTGCCAAACAGACAAACAAGTCATTGTGGACAAATGTAAAGTACAATCAGAAAACAGCATCATCCTTTAAAAATATTCCAGAGCACTTAATTCCATCTCATATTCAAGTGTCCAGAAGACCAATGAGAAATGCTATTTGCTGGTTTTTTGTTTTCCTTCATGGTATTAATCTAAACTAGTACATTGCATATCATTTAAGAGGAAGAGTGTTTTCATACATCTGAAAAATATTTTTGCTGCATTAATGCCCCATGTCTAAAAATAAACCCAGTCGATTTAGAATGAATGCTCACAATATTTGCCTACCCTTAAAAAAAAATCTCCATGCCTAAAGACATTATTTCCTAGAGAAACAAGGGAAACCTTCTCTAAATTATTCTGTTTAGGAAATAAAGCAGAAGAAAAGAGTCACTTGTGCTCACAGTTCCCCACGTGGGTTTAACCTCTACCTTCAGGCATTTTGCACAACCCCATGGGGAGCATTCATGCCCATTCGTGCTGCCAGGCTGCTGAGAGCCCAGCCTTGTGTGCAGTACCTGCAAGAGAAGATCACTGGGAGCAGTGACTGCCTTGCTCTGCCTCTTTCTGGAGTACTTCAGAAGTAATTCTGGAGGGCAAAACTTCACAGCAGCAACTTCTAGAGGAGCTATTTTCATCAAGAATAAAATAACATGGGAACATGTTGTCACTGCAACCATCTGTACTTCAATTGAACAACCTCATTGGACAGTACTATGGTGAACCTGTTGTCCATCTGTTTATGGTGAGTTCTCAGTCACACATGAGAGGCTCACGTGAAGGCAGGGCTACACCTCCTTCTATGTCACTTCTGTCTCCAGCCACTGCTTCTCAGGACAGATACAATCTGCTGCTGAGATAACAGTCCCAAGTTGATTTGGTTTTTTTGGGGTTTTTTTTTGTTTTTTTTTTTTTTTTTTTGCTTTGTTTTTTTGCCTTATATCTCCCCAGTGACTGTAATACCTGTTCTGACAGTACCAGTGGTCTGACTTTCCAGCATTGACTGGAAAAAAAAATACCAGCAGTGAGAATAGATGCTTTAATTCTGCTGCTCCTTAACTTAATAAAGTCAAATATGTAACAGAATCTGATTTTTCACTTTTTTTTATTAGGTACTTTATCATTTGGGCTTCATGGTCCAATCTGATTTGTTACTAGAGGATAAAGCAATTACATGCTCAAACATGATTCACTGTAAAACTCCAGCCTGTGAAACCACAGGCCAGCAAAAGAGCTGTGCTGGTGATACCATGGCTAACAAACATAACTTATGTGTGATACTTGGGGAGAGCAGTGACCACAGGCCTGTGCTATCCCTCTCTTCTGCTGCTCCCCAAATCTCCCTGAAGTGGCACAGAACCCAAACTGGGGAGAAACCACCACGGAGTCTGCCTCAGAGGGCAAGGAGGCAGCCAGTGTATGGGGCCAAATGCAATCCAGACCAAAGGGAGCCACAGGCAATAAAAGGAAGTGTATGGTAACCCATGAGAAAACCAGGAGAAAAAAAGGAAAGAAAACCTCTCTCAACAGCTGCAGAGAGGTTTTGCCAGACAAAGAAGAAGTCAGGCAACTGCATACCTGCTCTCTAAATCACTGTTCAGTCATGCTACATGGTCCTGACTGGCTGGGGTGCAACATCTGGCTGGCCCCTTAGCCAGTCCAGCAGGCTCAGGCTGTTTCTAAGTGGAGTGAAGGCCAACAGGCCTCCCCAGTGTCCTGCAGGAGCCCTAGCTGGCAGCCCTGCCTGCAGGTGTTACATCACAGACAGCATTCTGCCAGCCACCAGCTCCTCACCCCCAGCACCAGGGCCAGACAGGACGAAAGGCAGCCGCTGGCCACTCGCCAGCACATCTTGCATTGCCTTAAATGCTGTGTTCTGACTACATGTCCTGTTTGCTATGAAACAAATCTAATGGAGGAAATGAACAGGATTTTGCTTTTAAAAGTATTGTGTCAGGTACATTAACAGTTCTACCATACATGTTACTCAGCTCTTCAGAGAGTGCTTGGGTTTCATTTCTGCTGTAATTTTATCAGCATCTTGCTCAAGCCTCTCCTTGGTTTCCTGCTACTTAATTTATTTTCCTTTGCAGTCATATATTGAGCCATCTACAGTGCTCTGCTGGCTGCCAAACCTCTGGAAACACATCACACCAAAGTGTTGTAGTGAGTCACTTATGTCTCTTGTTTGCAGTTTTTACTCATGTAGCAAATACTAACTCTGTGTTTAGGACCTATTACTCCAATGATTGCCCTTTTTCAGCTTAGCAGTTGCTGAGCACAGATAGTAAAAATGAAGACTTCTGTGGCAATAGCAGTCATTTGTCAGGTTTTAACAAAATCTCTGACACAGAGGTGGCTCACAGAAAGCAAAGAACTATTGTCTAGTTATTAGTACAATAAAGGTGAATATAAAGCCAGCTGCCATCCTGGAAGCAGCAAGTCATTAAGAGGGTGCTGCAGCAAGCGGGATGAGTTGAGCTCCCCCAGCATCAGCACTGAAGTGAATGCCATTCACCCTATTTATCTGTGTTATTTATTCTGTGTTACTTATCGGCATTACTTATTCTGTGTTATTTATTGGTGGAATATGTGAATTTGACAGTTATCTGTGGATGACAAGCAGCTAACAGGTATATCAAGTATCAGGAGCCATACATGCTAAATGTAGATTTAAATAACTTGGAGATTTGTAGGAACAATGAGGCATGAACTTCAGTGGGAGGGGACAGAAAAGGCAAATGCCAGACTATAGCTGGGGCAGACACTGGCAGAGGATGGATAAGTCAGGCTCACTTGTATGGAGCAGGACTGGAAGGAGGAGGTTGGCCACCCACAAGTATTGTCACACCGTTGTAGATACACTAACTTCTGACCCTGATTCTTCATTGGAGCTTGGGGATATGCAAAGTCAAGGAAAATGGAATTTTATGGCTTTAAGGAAGAGGTAGTGCAGACCAGAGCCACATAGCTTGGCTAGTGCTGCTGCTGCCCCCAGGGAGGAAGGGGAGGTGTGTTTTGGGATGGTCTGTTATCTTCCCTTACCCATAGCCACTTCTACACCTGCCCTGATCCCATCTCACAAGGCAGCTGCTACTCTGGCTCTTGGCAGCACTGGCAAAGTGGGCAGTGGAGCTATTGCTCTTTAGCTTGGGCATTTCTCTGTATTTGCCAGTGTGTGGAAGCAGAAACACTCTCCTCTTTGGCACAGGGAAAGGCAGCTGGCAGAGAGCTTTTGTACACCATGGGTGGGCAAGGAAAAATACTCATCTATGTGGTAGACTCCCTGCACCTCACTTGTCTTCCCACCTCCAGCCTCAGCGCATGCTATCTGTGGGGAAGTCCATATACAGCAGGAAAGGCTTCAAGGGGAAGGAAAAGCATTTTGTTTGCTTCAAGACTTTAAACAACTTTTTCTGGGAGAATGCAAGGATCTCTGGAGGATGAACTCCAGTCACTGAACTCCACAAATTCAGAACAACTTTGAGACAGTTCAAGTTTGGGGGTCAAAACTGTCTACCCCAAAAATTAATATTCAACCTTGAAAACACACACCTAAAAGGATCTTGGCTTAAGTTGGGGGTTCTGTCACAAGTAAATCACAAGCAACTTCTGTTAAAATGCTTTGAGAGTATTGGGTGTTGCAACTGAAAGGCAGCTCCCAGGAGCCAGAACTATGACACAAAAACAGCTATATTACAGAAACTGGGGAGAGATATTAAAAGTTAACTGCTCCAAGGAGCCAGCAGATGTTAAATCGAGTAATTAGTTTAGTCTGAAATGGGAGAGCCCTGTCATCAGAGGGCTCCTGTCCCGTGAGGAAAGGACAGACATTGTCCTGATGAGGTGTCTGAAAAAATGCTTTTCATCAGGAGACAACACATGAGAGTTAAAGAACAGTTGACAATATCACTCAGGAAAGGAGGTCATCTCTAACTGGACTCACAACTACTTACAGGGAAAAGTCACTTCATAGGAAAGAAGTAAATGTGGTCTCAGTTGAAACTATTGCAAGAGGCCCAACCCTCAGAGATTTTATAAAGGATATGAACCCAAATAACAAGCAAGGAAAGAGGGTATATGTACAGGAATAGATACACAGACCCCTGGGGCCTGAGACAGGAAGGTGAACAACATTGGCAGGTTGGTGGTGGGGACCAGGAGCCACTGCTGCCTCCACACAGCCCTGCCCACAGCACAGGCAGGCACAGCCCGCCCCTGCCAGACAGCTGGTGCTGCAAAAAGCTACTGCTACAAAAAGCTATTGCTACAACTCAGTCCTGTCCACGAGATGGGATTCACCCCCTGCATTAACCTGTGCCATAGCAGAGACCATGGGGAAGGCGGATGGGAAAACTCCCGGGGGTCTGTTCCAAAAGGCATGTGGGAAAACATCTGGGAATAGACTCTGTGGGCTCTTGAGGGCAAATTCGAAGTAACAAAAGATCTCAAGAGGATCTTGTGGAAAAAAATGAAGAGCCCTTCCCCCCTCAATTCTGGTAGTTTCCAGATGGGAAAATGAAATGAAACTTTTTAAAAAATGTTCAGAAACCTTTTGAACCTCATTAGTTTTCATTTCATATGTCTCTGCACAAAGAAGTTTATAAACCTGCAGCTCTTTTAGATGAAATGATGTAACATTCAGATTATATCAATCGGAGTGGGGAGGGGAGCATTCGTCTCAGTAATATTTTAACAAAAGAAGTCATTTTATGCAGTCTTTACAATGCTTTCTTATTTCAGGGGTCATGGGAGCTGCATAACACCAGGTCTTCACAGTCTCAGAAACCAAATTACCTAATTTTGAGGAAACAATACCTGCATGCAATTAAGCTCTTAACTTTACTCATGTGAGTAGTTTGAATTGGTGTATGGAGAATACTTGCAGGCTTTCAAGTCCACATGTGTAAGTTTTGGCAGGGCTTGATTTTTAACCACGTTAATTTTGAAGCTTTGCTTTCTTTTTTTTTCAGCATCAAGCCTAGAAAAGCTACATATATGCTAACAACTTGAAAAATCCTCTAAAATCAGTTTTGGAGACTTAAAGGAAATCAAAGGAAATGTGATAAAATTAAAATGCTCCCACTTAAATAAAATTTTATTTCCCTTCCAGTAACATACAATATTTAACTAAGAATTTTAATATATTCAGTAAAATATGAGCATATTATTAACCTCCTCAGAACGACACCATTTACTGTAAAGTCATTACCATTCTCTTCACTCATGTCTGGCCTCTTTGTTTCAAGTCTGTTTTCCCAGCTTACAGTATCAGGTCAACAGACTCTAACATAAATGAGTAATGTGTCTGGAATTTTTTCCTTGCAATACCAAACCTCAGACCAAGCTCAGGCAGAAGGGCCATGCTGTGAAAAGGATGGGAAGCAGCTTCAGCTGTACCTCTTCTCTACATTCTCCATCCTGTCCCACTTCCCCTTGCAAGAGGCTCCTGCCTAGGCTGCTGTCTGTCCCTGACTTCACTTCCTTCTCTCACAGCTCTCAGAGACAGCATCTGGACTTTTGGAAATCCAAATCCACCCTTTCTCAGGGTCTAGTAGACCAAAAACAATTCTGTGCTTCCCATGGCCAGAGTTCAAAATCTACAACAGTGACCGCAGAAGTCCAGAAATTAGTTTCTGTAAGGTGGGACAGTCAGAGGGGATCTACTCAGCTAATTAATTATTTTTGGTCATTTCTGAGGTGCTGCCCATGGTTAACTCAGTGAAGTGAGAGAATGTCCTGCTTGTTGCTGTCTGTCCCCACAGTCAGTAGGGCCTTATTAACAGTGCTGAAGGTGTCAACGCAAGAGAAGGATGTCAGTCTTTCCTCAGCACTTTAAACTTCTATAGGCTTCAGGTCTGGGGGAAGCTGGATGTCCTTCTGAAACATTCTACCTGTAAATCTAGTCTTTTATACAGATATTAACAAATAAAAACCAAGTTGTATGGAAAATGTCAGTTCTATTTTTGCCAACTAAAATATAACAGGAAATTGTATGCTTAACATATGTGCAGAACTGCAAAACTGAAGCACAGATAAGTAACCACTATTATTAAGAATGCTAAACACAGTTGCAGAGGTGAAACAGATTATGCTGCTGGATGTTTCCTTTAATATGAATTCTAGCTACAGATTTGCTTTGCATATGAAAGTTAATAGAAAATCCTTACAGCAACTTAAGGAAACAGAATTGAATTCTTACAAAATAGTCATATATTTATCCAGTGCCTAAATACACTGATGGGAAAACATATGTATTATGGTACACAAACGAAACAAATTGTTCCTGAATACACTAATTTCAGAAACACACCAATAGCTCTGATAGGAAGAACTTGAATGTGAATGTCATACAAACCAAAAATGAAAAGAAAAACCAATCTGAGCAGCTAAGCTACAAGCTGTTTTGAATGATGTCCAGAATCCAAATGAACCAAAGCCTGTCACCCTAAATCTGAATCATAAGTGCAGGTCTCCTCTGGGATGCCCCAGAAAACCCCATGCAGAAACCACAGCTCCACCAAGGTTTCAGTGCAGTGCTCTGCAAAGTGTGCCTGGATGCTGCTGTGCCAGGAAGGTGGGACACAGGGGGCCCTGAGAATATGGGCCTGGCCCCCTCTGTCAGCAGGGTAACTACATAAGCAGGGAGTCTGAAAAACACTGTTGCAAATATTTTTATTTATCAGAACAGAGGGTGTTGGAAATCTTCTGTTTGTTCTTTGAAAGCACTCATTTTCCTAAAGAAACAGCCAACTTCTTTCCACAGCTCTGAGGCTCGGGGCTAAATATTTTCCATACTAACTTTTTTTCCCACCAACTGGTGTAGTTACTCCGGCAGCTAAACCTCTCCTTTCTAGTCACTAGTACAGTAAACATCAAGAGAGGGGTACTGTGTGTAACAAATCATACACCTAAGAGAGGCAAGCCACTCAACCCTTTCTCTCTCTCTTTTAAATTAAAAGTAAATACTATTCATACCTATAAGCGCAATCAATCTAATGTTCCAAATGAAGGAGTCCCACTCTTGGATCCTCTGCCAAAAAGCCACAGTATGACATCGACCAACAGAGATGCATTTTTTTAAGACCTTCAATTTTCTATGCAAATAAACACTTTAATTTTTAGGAAAAACGGTGTTTCAGGCAGCATCCTTAAGGGTGAATGAAGACAGCATATGCCAAAAGCAATTTATGAGGATTTTTTCCTCCAAATTCTTACTGCCATATCCATCACACAGGATGTTGAGTGCTCATGGTGCACAGGCAATAACCACAAGCAGGAATTGGCTGTGTTTTTCACAGACAGCCCTGAGTATTTGCTCTTTTGGAATTAAACTCATATTCAAAGTGATGATAGGACAAAGGGACTTAGCACGGAGAAATCAGAGCACCCATCAACCCCGACAGCCCCCAGTTCAGGGTGCTGCCAAGCCCACAGGCACTCATGTGTGATGAGGACCCTCTCCCTAAAACACATCATGGGGGAGGCTCCCAACATGCTTAAAGTTCAGGGCTATGAATCTAATTTCTTTTCAGACTGGTAATTTGTGACTCACAGGCAGGTATCTATTTTTAGGGATGGCTTCAGCAAGCTCCAAATGGAAGCACAACAGACTGTGGCCTCCGGCCACTTCAACAGTCCGGCTCCTGACATGAGTCCAGAAGCTTTGGCCAGTGCAAAAGTCAGGCACAAACTGTAACTGTTCAGTATTGTAATTACGTGTTTTAACCTGTGGGTCCCCCATCACACAGGTTATTTTGAATTATAAAAGAAATGCCATAGTTTTGCACTGTTTTATTTCTCCCTGCCTGCTCAAACACAAGTTGGAAGCCTTTCCAAAACCACTCCGTCACCGTGTCTTCCAGCACGAACTGTCTGATATACTCTGAGTCAGCTGCATCTGAGGAGCCACAGCTGGCCTGGAAGTAAGCCAAAGACTTTTCCCTTCAGTTTTGTTGCACAATGTGATCTAAATACCTGGTCCCATCTAATCGGGTTCCTTCTGGGGTTTAAGGAAACTGTCTTTTACTTTGCGAGGTCTCAAGTTAGAGAAACATCATAAGGTTAGTGTCCAAAACCAATTCAGACAGCAATACAAATAAACATCGATTGGAAAAAGAGACATAGTTGGGGGGGGAGGGGGGAAGCAACAAACTTTTGTGACTAGACTATTGCTTTCTTTCACATCATGATGAAATTTAAGTTTCATCTGTTTCTATGAAAAATATGAACGAAGCAATGTATAACCAAGGAATGAATTGTTACTTGATTGTGTCTACTGGCTTTGGCTGGGGTTAAACCACAGCACTGTGTGTAACCTTTTCCTTCTCAGGAATTTGTCAAGATAGTATTTGTCAATTTTAGTAAAATTGAGTTAAAAAATATTATTTGGAGTAATGCTGAATCACTAAAATTCTTTAAGGTGAAGATTGCCAAGATGCTTGGAAGTCAGCTACGGCAGATACTGCATTAAGAAGCAGCCCAATATATATTTTTTCACTATCTTTATTTTTACTTCATCCTCACAGACAACATATCTTTGTAAAAGCCAGCATATTTCACTAATTTCTATTTTCCAACTTTGAAAAGCTGTAGTGTGATCTAAAAATGAAATTTGATTATCCAGTGCCACAGAATTTTGAAAATAAATCATCTCTATTCAAGAGATACTGAAATATTAAGATGCTAAATTAATTTTCTTCTTGGCTCAAATTTTGAGGCAAAAGGAGTTTTTTAAAGCATGCATGTATACTTTTCTAGTATTCTATCCATATTCTAGCAATGACTTACATTTTGGCTGACAATATATAAATTATTTTTAGCTGTAAATTATATTAAAAAGAGAGAATCTATGATGTGGTTCCCATAATGGAACAAAAACAGTACATTGTTGTAAATGGGTTCTGTGCTTGCAAACATCCCTGAATTGATACCCAAATAAGGGGTAGAAAACAAAAAAAAATGTCTGGCTGTGCCACACACATCTACTAAGGGATAAAGGCACTTCTCCCAAGGGGCAGAAACTCACATCCACCTAAACAACAGGCAAAGAAATATCAGTTTGCTGCCATCACACCTTGTAGCCCAAACACAAGCAAAAGCCAGAGGAGTATGCAAGACTGCTGCACAACATCAGTGTTTCTCAAGATCTTCAGGAGTCTCCCGACTCCTTGGGTCTTCCCCAGTCCACAGCTGCTCCATGCCTTGGTGGGGGGAGCAGATGCTGGAGTCAGGGACCCGGGGGTGCTGCCCACTGAAGGCACTGTGCACACTGGCCCTGGGCAGCATCCCAGGACATGGGGCAGCTCCTCTCTGCTCTCCTGTAGAGGACCTCAATGATCACCATCTAAATTACCTCTTTGGGGTACTTCATGCAATTTTTCAAGAGGCCTTTTGGAAGTTGTTAATGGACAGGTTTTTTTTCCTTAAAACTGGTGTCAGTGGTGTGAGGAGCATGGCACTACCAAGGAGAGGTGCTCTGATGGCACTGAGCTCAGCTAGCACCCTCTGTAATGCACTTCTGATGGAAGATGAGGGACACCACTGGAGCACACCTTCCCCACCTTGAACAGCTCATGATGATCCATGTGGAGCTGGTGGGAGACACCGTGCTTTTTAAAGGTTTCAGACCACCTTTTGTCATAAGCCTGGTGACAGCCCAGGCTGGTGCAACACAGAGGCTTCCTGCCTATCCTGCTCTTCCTCTGCTACCTGAATCAGAAGCTCTCATGTTAGCTGCCCTCAGAAAAGCCAGCATGATCCTCTTTCTCCAAGTTTATGACTACATCCCAGCTTCCATCCAACAGATCTCCCACTGGTAACCAGAAAGTTAAAAAGGGCTAACAGAAATTATCTTACCAGCAGTTTCAAAATCCAGCAAATTCCACACCAGGGTGGAGAATTAGTTTCAGTCTGACTGCTCCTCTTATTTATTTGTTTAAGGACTACTCTAGCAGCAAGCAGGGAAGAATTCCATTCCCATGTAGGAGTGTGATGCCAAGTTCCTCTGACTTGCAGCAAGACTCACCAACATTTCCTGGCTCCCTCCCTCCTGAAATGCTAGCAAGAAGCCTATTCTATACCTCACAGCAAACAGCAAGATCTTTCATATCGCAAAGGAATAATTTAACTATGGGAAATAAATTTACCTTTTAATTGAAAATTCTACTTTGAGTATAGCCAATGGAACGTATTTCCACATCAACTGGTGATAAATGGAGAGGAGGAACTTGCAAGGAGAAGTGCCAATTTGCCTGTGCCCAAATCAAAGCAGTTGCTACTTGAAAGCATTAGGGCAGCAGCATGCGCAGAAGCACATTGTTCAAATGGAGTTCCTATTGCAAAAATAAAAGCTTGCACATGGCGAAAATAAGGTAGAAAATCTTACATTCTCTTCCTCATTAGCACAGTGGGACAGCAATATCAGAGGTGTTAAACTGGCAGGTGTGTTCATACAGAACTGCTCATTCCCGTTGTACGGTGTAGCAGAGAACAGAAATCGGGTTTAAAAGTGAACGTGCACTAGGTCTCTTTTCACCCAGGCTGGGCCCTATGGCCACAATTTATTACTGTGGATAATACATATTGTTCAATAGCACTGTATAACCTTTTTTCATGGATTTTAACTCTTGCAGAAGTACAATGTGATTTCTAGAGGTTGAGTCCTCAGAATAAGAGTCAGGGCTGAGAAGCAGAATTTTTGGTGTAGGAAGCAGTGAGCACCCACACACAGCAGCCCTGGCTCATGCTTCCAGGGCTCCCTAACATGCTAACATCCCCAGGCTGCACTGAAAGGATGTGTGGGTGCTGCCAGACCTTTCCACACCAACAGCAGAAATAAGGTGAGAAAGTTTTTAAGAGGTTCCTGGAGACATCTCTAAAATTGCAGGTGTTTAAAACCTTAGCATGCAAAGGCTCCAACAGATCTAGGAGCATCTGCTGCAGTCCATGGAGATGACCCCAGTGATCTCACTGGTCTCAGTAACCTGTCTCAAGGGTTGACCCATTTGTTTCTATCTGGATTAATAACTTTTCAGACAGCTCATCTAACACAAACCCATCTTGTCTGTGCATATAAGTCTAGAATTGACCAATTTATAAAAATAGCAAGAAGTGAACAAGTCCAGTGATAAGCCTTAGAAATAATCAACTGTACTGACTGCAGCTTTTCCTCTGTCACCCATTTGTGCCTAAGTTGTGATTACTACAGCGAGCAAACACCAACTTTGTAGATGCTGCCATGCTCAGGCTCATTTCAAACTATTTTCCTTACAATAAAATCCTTTTTGTTCTTTGTTTCCTTTCTTAAATTTTTTTTTTCCTTTACACAGGAAATAAGCTATAATATTATTTTAATGAATCAAAGGATATTGTTTCTATAACCTATGTGCACTCACCATACAGGGGCTGGAGTGCTTCACCTAAGAGTGCTTTTACTGGTTTTCTTTGGGGTTTTTTTGTTACTGTTGTTGCAGACCTGTGCCATGAACCAGGGCTTAAGACAGCATAAAGGAAGTTGTTGCCAAATTAGTTAGTCCTTACACCAGCACTAGAACAGAATCTGATTCCAAAGTTTAAAAGAAAATTCATGGATACAAGAGACACTGCCCTGGATTTCTACATGCCAGCACTGGACTGATTTGATGCAGCAGGATGCTGTCACCCACTGTCAGCCACTCCTACCCTGGCTGAGATCAGTTACTGCTCTCAACAGGAACTGAACTGGACTCTTCACTCTCTTCATCACATTTTGGCTGAACAAAGAATTTTTCAGTCAGGGTGGGATGGGAAAATTAAGAGCCTTGTAGGAATGGCATATCCTGAATTTCCAAAAGATGTCTAGGTCAGCCCAGAGTCTAGCCAGCTGGTGCACTCATCTCCAGTATTTACACTGACAGTGGAAATATGCCTGGAACACCTGCAAACAATTACATCTCTGACCCTCTCATGGTGAGGCCTGTAATGCAGGATACTGCCATTCACACTGCACATTGCAGCATCTACCATTCACTTCCCATGGAAAACACCCACACTAAACTTATTTCATTATAGCTAATTGGCACCCAATTGAATTCTTTTAAAAGGTGTGCTTTGCAATATCAGTCATCTCAAAGCTTCCCTTACCATGAGGAAACATCTGTCTTCTCTGTGGGTTGAATTTAAAGGTTTTCTGCTTCCACATTATATATGTATACCAGAGAGTGTCAGAGCAGAGTAAAACAAGGGTTCAAAATTGTAGTTTGCTCTGCTATTGACCAACCTGTCAGTTCCAGTTCTGAGGCCTCCCACCCATACCCATATGTTTTTCCCACCACTCCTATCTGTCTAAAAGCATCCCCATGGCCATTGTCCACTTTCACTATAGCATTTGTCCAAACCAAAACTCCAACCTCAAGTCCTACGCACACTGAGTCCTCTGCCTCCTCCCTTATTCCTGACCTAGACCTGTGTTACCAACCCACAGTCCCTTGCTTAATCTCAGCACAGCCTGACTTTCAGTGTCAAGACTTGCTTCTGCCCAGGGCTAAGAAGCTCATACCTTGCCATGGTGCTCACAAGTGGAGCTCCAGGTAGGAACAATCGCTTCTCACAACCACACTATTCTGAAAAAGCCCCTGAACATCACATCCTTTACACAACTAAACAAAAACCACCAAGAGCCAGGCCTGACATCCATCTATGATCTCTACCTCCCTCCTCTACTACTTCAGTTCTGCAAGGCAAGGAAAATACTGTCATGTATGTCTTGCTTCCCTCAGCAAGGGTAGATCCTGGACTGACATAGAAAGGATTGCTGTCACTCAAAATAATCCTGGCACAGGGAGTGTACAGAAAGGTGGTTTAGGAACAGAAACATTAAGAGGAAAACAGAAATCAGCAACCTGGCTGGTGAGACAGAAGGCATAAAATGCTAAGTCTCTTCATATTTACAGACTCATGCAGTTTATGGGCTTAACCAAATGCTTCAGTAACAGTGGGGAAAAAATGAAGAAGAAATAATGGAGTCATCAATCTATAGCCCTTGAGACTAATGGAAAGAATGACTGGACCACAACAGTCAAACCACACTCTAGTTTCTTTGGCCTTATATTAGGATCTTTCCTTC